AGTTGATTGGAGTTCATATTATACTGACTTGCTCATAGCGAGTTGTTTTCTCTGGTGTTTTATAATTTTAGGTTGTAAGCTCATATTTAGTGGAGCTGTATTTGTGAGAACTATATGTTAAAGGTAAGAAGAGGTCCTTAGGTGATGCAAATGATTTGTACTTATTACTAATGGCAAAGGTGATGGTTTGAAAGAGTTAACTTAAGGCCAGATCCCAGCAAGATGGTATTGGAATTTGTTTCTGCTGAATGGGAATCCAAGAAAACTTGACTAAACCTATACTCAAACCAGGAAGCAGTCCTCAGAACAGAGCAAGGAAACACTTCATGGTTCAAAATCAGGAAAGGAGTGTGTCAGGGATGTGTCCTGTTTCCATACCTTTTCAATCTGTATGCAGAACAGATCATTTGGGAGGCTGGGCTTTATGAGGAGGAACAAGGCATCAGGATTGGAGGAAGACTCATCAACAACCTGAGTTATGCAGATGACACATCGTGTTTTCTGAAACTAAGGAGGTCAAGAAATGCAGAAGGTCAAGAACTATAGTCTTCAATATGGGTTGAAGCTCAACAAGAAGATAAAGATTCTCATCACTGGGCCAATTGGCAACATTATGATAGATGGAGAAGAGATTGAGGTTGTTAATAATTACAGCTTGCTCAGCTCTATAATCAACACTTTTGGCACCATCAGTCAGGAAATAAAAAGACAAATTGCACTGGGAAAATCTGCTGTCAGGGACCTCTCCAGAGTACTGAGAATCAATGATGTCAGTCTAGAGACTAGTCTAGAAACTAGACTTGACTTAAGGTGTGCCTGATCCAGGTTATGGTCTTTGCAATTACTTTCTGTGCATCAGAGAGTTGCACAATGACTAAGAATGACAGAAGAAGAATCAATGCCTTTGAGTTGTGGTGTTGGAGAAGAGTCTTGACATACCATGGACTACCAAGGAAACAAATAAATCTGTTTTGAAGCAGGTAAAACCAAATTTCTCCTAGAAACTACAATTTTGAAGCTCTGTCTCACATACTTTAGGTATGTGGCCAGGAGGGACCAGTCCTTGGATAAGGACATTATTCTTGGAAGGGTGGAGAGACAGCACAGGAAAGGAAGACTCCATATGAAATGGAGGTATTGGGAATAGGTGTGTCAGAGTCAATGAGACTGGCTCAGAATAGGGCAGGCTTCAGAGCTGATGAACATAGGGTCACTGTGAGTCACAGGCAGCTTGCCAGCACATAACAACAATAACATGTGCCCATATGAAATCTATACCTAGACAAAAAAGCTGTTGTCTGATCAGAGCAAGGGAACACTGCGTGGTTTAAAATCAGGAAGGGTGTGCATCAGTGTTGTATCTTTTCTCCAAAGTTATTTAATCTGTATGCTGAGCAAATATTTAGTGAAGCTGGACTCTATGAAGAGGAATGTGGCAACAGGACAGTAAGAAGACTTATCAACAACATGTATTATGCAGGTTACACAATCTTGCTTACTTTAAAGTAAGAAGATAAGGGATTACAGCCTTCAATGTGGATTACATCTCAAAATCAAGAAAACAAAAATCCTTGCCACTGGGCCAAAAGGCAACATCATGATAAGTGGAGACGGAATTGAAACTGTCAATTATTTCATCTTACTTAGATCCATAGTCACCTTGGTACCAGAAGTCAGGAGATAGGAGTTTGGCAAGTCCATTGTCAGGGACTTTTAAAATACTGAAGAGCAATAAGGCTAAGGCTAAAGTGTGCCTGATTCAGGTGGTTATCTTCTCCATTACTTCCTATGCATCCAAGAGGTAAACATAAGGCTGATAGTAAGGTAGGTAATAAGGATGACAGAAGAATAATAATGGATGGCTTTGAGTTGTGTTGGAGAAGAATACTGACTATCCCATGGACTGTCAAAAGAATTAATAGGTATATCTTGGAAAAAGTATAGCCAGAGTGCTCCCTGGAGGCAAGGATAGCAAAGCTTCATCTCTCATACTTTGAGCATGTAGCTAGGAGAGGCTACTCCTTGGAAAGTGATATCATGCTTGGAAAAGTGGAGGGTTGGTGAAAGAGAGGAGATGTCCCAGTGAGATGGATTGACGTGGTGATTGCAGCAGTGGGCTCAAGATGATGATGATGGCGAGGGATAGGACAGGATTCAAGTCTGTTGTTCAGGGGGTCACTATGAGTCATACTCAACTTGATGGCACCTAACAACAGTGACAACAGTGCCCTATGCACTAATGCAGGGATAACTTTTCAAAGTAACATTTTTAACTTAGAGGCTTTTGAATCTTGTAAGTAGCATGCATTATAAGATGTTGTTGCTATGTGCCATTGAGTAGGTTGTGATTCATAGTGACCCTGTGTACAATAGCTCTGAAACCTGCTCTATCCTGTGCCAACCTTATTGTCTCTAACACAGTTACCTTCCTTACACCAGTCAATGAAGAGAGTTAAAATACTCAAAAGGGACTTCATTATTTTGATCAAAACCCCAGACCAAGACATACAAGGTTTCTTATTGATCCCCTATATGGATAGGTAGGTGATTTTTAGTGCACCCATTTTCTGAACATGTAGCCCTTCATGGATCCATGGAAGTTGAAGTTCAGTTCCCCAACTTTTTTAGGACAAAGGTTTCAACCATTGTCTTCTTGTGGCATTGCAAATTCAAGACCTACAGTATTCTTCAGCCTCCTCTGGGTAATTGGTAATTACAGCATTTGTTAAAGTTTACTGCTCTGGCTTTCTGTTCCAACTTAATTTTTTTTTTCTCTGTGGGGATTTTCCCAAGGTTCTTACATGCACAACTTTGTATTTAAAAAGAGTGTTTATTTCTGGGACTTTAGTAGCAAGAGGGAGGATTTCAGTTTATTTTGCATGCTACATTGCCAGAAACAGAAGTCAAGATGGATAATTATAACGACGCTATAAAGATTTCTGCAAGAATTCATTTCTAGAATAAAGATGTGTTGATTGCCTGCTGTAGCCTTCTAACATCAAGACGAGGGAGACTAATAAGCATCTGCTCTAGGCTGATTCCTCTGAAGCAGAAGTCAGACACACCTTCACTCTCTAACCTTTGTTCTGGGTCTGACACCACCTCTCTTTCCTACAGCACTCTCTATTTCTCTGCTGGGTTTGAGGATTCAGTACAGTAGCCACATAGAACTCACAGAACCATACTCATTATTACAGAGTTTGTTAGGTCAGTTAACAGGTTACAACTCAGAATCAACTTGGAAGTGACAGGAAGAACTTAGGAGACAAAAGAGAGCTTGCCAATCAAGCGGCTCCCAACCAAGAGCCTTCAACTCCTCCTAAGCCTGTAGGCAGTCTCTGCTGGGATCTCTGCTGCTGGCCTTGTTTGAACAAGTGTTACTGTTCTTTAGCTTTCCTGATAGGTGTCTGATGGCCCCTTACTGTGCCAAGAAATCTCGTGCCTGAAGGCACCAAGCTGCTTTACTCTGTGGGTTGTAAGCTATGGCAGCTGTCTGCTGGTCCCTTGCTGCTGGTGGTTTTGTTGTTGTTGTTGTTTTATGTGTGTGCCATGGCCAGTGTTATAGCTCAGTCCCCTAAGTCTAGGATATTCTCAGCATAGGGACCCTGAACGAAAGTATAGGCTCTGCTTCCAGCATCTCTTAATATTAATGAGCTCTCCCCTCCTCTGTGGGGTTGAATTGGCTCTTTTTAAGCCCAGCGAGATGGCAAAGCTGAACAATCCCCTTAGCAAGTCAGAGGCAGCTTATTTGCATAGTCACTGTCCAGTTCCTGCAAGAGAGTTTAACATACCCTATTTGCACATTCTCAGCCAATCATTTTGTGAGAGTTACAAGACTAGCTAGAAAATCATACAAAAGCAGTTCACTGTACTGTGCCTGCTCTGCGCCTGACCCAAACCTGTCACTGTTAGAAATGTAGTGATGAATGAAACAGACATAACCCCCTGCCTTCTTGAAGCTCAGGTTTTAGTTAAAGGGAACTTATGAAACAGTTCAGTTGTAGTTGAATGTTGCCTGGCATTGCTTTATCCTTGTGCACCTTCTATTTAGGGAGCTCTGGGGATATAGTCTGTGGGTAGTTGTACTGCTAACACAAAGGTGGTGCTTCTGTCAGTTCGAATCCACCAATGGCTCTCAAGGAGAAAGAATATTCAACCTGAATCCTTCTGATCATAAGGAGATTTTTGAAAGTATTTCTTTGAGTTTATTATGTTTAATCTATTTTATTTGTGTATGAAGGATGGAGAGAATGAAAATAAGCAAGAATGAATCAAAGAAGAGAAGATGCTAGTCTAGATGATAACATGATTATGATAAAAACAAAAGGGGGAAATACGGGAAGCCAAACTATACCAAATATTATATGAAAACCCTTGTTCAGGAATTGAAGGAATTACAGATTTATAAGTTAAGATTTCTCTTGTGACAGATCACAGAAAATGAGCTGTTTGTTCCCTGCAGACAGGAGACAGCTAGGGGTCACCTACAGTTACTTCCTGAGCTAGAGTTCACCCTGAGGCATCAAGGCAATCCTTAAGGGTAAACGCCCTGGAGGGTCAGCTGTGAGTTGGCTCTAACTCATGGTAGTGAGTCAATGTGACTTCCCAGTTACATATGGAAGGATGTTGTTGTTGTTAAGTGCCATCGAGTCGCAGGCGACTCATAGCGACCCTATGAAGGAGAGTCCTTGACGCTTGGGTGCCTTTCATACTCTCTCCAGGTTCATAGGGTTTCCGGAGGCAAGCTATTATGGAAGTGGACGCCACTCCTCCCTCCTCCTCTTCTCCTTTTGGGCTTAGTTACACGAATCTTTGTATGCCCCAAAAGTCTCTTGTCACAGTTTGAAACCATATCTTTTTTTCTCTAAGTTAGCTGCCACTGTTGGTCACTTTCTTCTTTATTTTCACTTTAAGTTTGGATAGGTGAGTGAGAATTCCTTGATAAATGGAATAATTTCTTTAGTGATGAATTAAATTCTTTTCCTCTTTCTTTTGTGCAGTACCAGAGGTGCAGAATCTGGGACAAGTTGCACGAAGAGCATATCAATGCAGGACGTACAGTTCAGGTGAGGATTTTTCCTAAAGAATCACTGTGAAAAAGACTGAGTAAACGACTGTGTAAAAAGACTGAGTCATCTGTGCTAGAGTGAAAACCCATGTAACGGCATCACGTGTGTAACGCTTCCTCAAGGATGTGTTTCAAATAGGAATTGATAGAGAAAAACATCGTGTGTATTTTTGTTTGTCTGTTTTTAAGATTTATTATTAATTTCAATGAAAATTTACAGAGACTTTGGATTTCCATTCATACATTGTTGCACTTTTTCCCCCACCTAACCCTCCCCCCAGTACACTACCCTCTTGGAAAAGTAAAATTCTTTCATTGTCTTACAATACATCCCCCCCCTCCCCCCGGGTCCACTCCACTATGCAGCCTTCACTCTGGATTCCTGTCATGACAAAAATACCTAATAACATATCCCTTTAAACAGTTTTCTCCCTCATCTGTTTCAATTCAGTATATATTATTTATCCCCATCTTTCTCAGTCTCCCCCAACCCCAAGGTCAGTCCTATTCTACAACAGTGGCACCACGCAGTATTTGTCCTTTTGTAACTGAGATACTTCACTCAGCATAATGTCCTCCAGGGTCACCCATTTTGAATAATATTGCATGAGTTCCTTGTTTTTCAATGCAGTGTAGTATTCCATTGTGTGAATATACCACAGCTTCTCTGCCCATTCGTTTGTTGATGGGCACTTAGGTTGTTTCCAACTTCTTGCTGTTGTGAAAGCTGCGATAAACATGGGTGTGCAGTCATGTGTATTTTTAAGATTCTGGTTTGTGTTCCCAGCCTTTCTCTAGAAATCATACATCAACTTTCATAGTCGGTGCATATCCCAGAAGCCTTATCAACAATACTCGTATTACCCATTTAAAAAAACAAACAAACAACTTTGCTAATTGGAAAGTTAAAATAATTCTATTTTATTGTTTTAATTTGGCTGTTTTTTTTAATTGTTGCTTTAAAGGGCAAGATTTTTGGGGTATATATGTGTGTGTATCTACACACACATCCCCCCATACACACACCTACACACCCTTGGATCGGCATATTTCTTTTATGAATTGGCTCTTGCATGTATTCTGTTATGTTGCTGTCTTTTCTAAGAGCTTTTATTTTGAAGATCCTGATCTGTTATAACATGTGCTATAGATATTCTTTGTCAATCAAAGATTTTAAATTAGTATCTTTACAAAGGTTCAAAACTCAATGCAGTTAAAAAATGCCTAAAAGTGTCCTACCCTTTTCTATTCCAAGTCCTGCTTAGAAGAAACTTTTGTGAACTATTCTGGCCATTTTTCTAGGATGCTATTTATTTCCTTATTCCTAAATCCCTTGTAAAGACTGGTATTTCTGGATTAGTCCGTTCTGGGCCCTATCTGTTCACCTCTTGCTGAGGTAGATAGAGATTTCAGTTGTCCGTAATCTCCTGCTTTCCTTTCCTCTATATAATTACATACATACAGACTACAATATTTGGTTAAAGTAGTAATCAATATATAATTATTTTGATTATGAAAATCTTATTTCCTGCCAAACCAAATTGTGAAATATGGCACAGCTCTGCTTATCTGAGGTTAATAATTACCTGGTTGGGTTTTTAAAATCGCCTGGTCTTCTGTGTATTTGTAGCTAATTTTCTAAAAACTATTCCATTTCTCTGCTATATAATATCAATTATATTTATAGCATATGTTTAGATAAATCATGTTTATCCTATATCCTGAGGACTTTGCTCTTGAAGACTCTCTTCCTTTAGTTGCAGTACGTGAACTTACTCTCTCAGCTTGTTGTACAGCTGCTGTGGTGAAATTCTCTTAACTGTTCCTCTGTGTTCAAACCTCTTGTTTATGGAGAACATGTCTTCCTCCTTTTTATTTAACTCTATCATTTTGTTGGAGTACATCGCCTGCTCTTTTAGTACGTTGGGAGTCAATTTTTAAGTCCTTGTGTGTCTGGAAAGCACCTTTATTCTCCCCTTTCATGTGACTGCTAATTACACGAGGTATACAATGCTAGAGGGAATCATTTCCGTTTTAAGGGTTTTCTAGTTTTTCTCAGTCTTTCTCTTACGACTGCTGTCATTGCTTTTTTCCTCTGGGAACTTTTGTGATTTTCTGTTTGTCTCTAAGATTTTGAAATTTTATAATGATATAACATTGTGCCGGACTGTTTCAGATACAAACATTTGTGTTCCTTATTTTTATTTTTAAGGAAATAGCCTTAAGTTATTTATTTGATAGTTTATTTCTTTGTATTTTCTCTTTCCACTTTTTGAAACTCATCTATCAAAAAATGGAACGAAATCTGCCCATTTACTTCTATATTGTCTTTGGTTACTGTTACACACTAAAGTGACAGACTTGAATAGCTGCTAGAGACCATATGGCCCCGCAAAGCCTAAACTGTTTACTGTCTGGCCCTTTCTTAAAAAAAAAAAAAAGTATGCCCATTCCTCTTCTACTGAATGTTAGAACTCTTTGATAATCTAATTTTCTTTTTTCTGGGTGATTTCTGCAACGTTTTCTATAGATCTTTTTACTGAATTCTTTGTATCTGTTAGAGCATTTCATTTTCAAGAACTTTTTCTAAGCTCTAAAAGTGCTTTCTTTTCTTTTTATCACAGCACTTTGTGGATGCGATAGTGTCTTCTGTCTTCTGAAGCACAGAAGAGCTTGTGTGTTGCTGTCTAACACTAGTGGTTTCCCCTTGTGGTTTCACTTAAAGGCATTTTGGAAAGCTGGCATTTTCATTAGAAGGACCTTTAACTAACTGAAGATTATTTTAATTTCATTTTTTTAAAATTTTTTTATTTTATTTTTTTAAATTTTATTATTTTTGTGTGAGTGTACCGTCAAATCAGATCTGACTGGTACAGGGGAAGATTGTCCCTCCTTCCCTGGCAGAGCATTTGGTGGATTCGAACCGTGCGCCTCTGGGATTGTAGTTGCAGCTCCTTGCCAGTAGGCCACCAGAGCTCCCCTTTAATTTCATTTTTTAAAGAAGAATGCTCATCCTTTTCCTAGGCCAGCAGACACTTAAAGAAGCAGTTTAGTGAAGGCTGCTGGGCTGTCACATAATTCCCTGCTTTTAGTCTGTGCCTGTTGTTTCTAAGTGTCGAGCCTGTTTCTGCACACGATTCTTTCTTTCTTTCTTTTTGGGGTTTTTTTTTGTTGTTATTATTCTCTATTGTGTAGTCAATAGATTGGGATAGAGTAAAGTTAGTGGTCCCAAGAAGCCTAGGAGGTGAAGTTTTTACTAAGCTACTTTTCTAAGTGTGATATCCTCCTCTGGCCTCTCTTGGTAATATGCCCAAAGTATGTGACCAAGTCCCTCTACCTTTGCTTCTAATACTCAAGTTACACTTCTTCTAAGACAAATTTGCTTGTTCTTTTGGCAGTCCATGGTATATATTCATTATTCTTTCTTGACATCACAGTTCAAAAACATCAGTTCTTTTTCAGCCTTCCTTGTTCATTGTCCAGTTTCCCCATGCTTATGAAGCAATGGAAACTACCCTGCTGGGATCCAGGGTTCCTTTGTCTTTAAACTGATGTCCTTGCTCATCAGCACTTTTAAGGGGTGTTTGGCAGGGGATTGACCAAGTGCAATATGGTGTTGGATTTACTGACTGCTGCTCCCACAGGTGTTGATTGTGGATCCAAACAGAATGAAATCCTTGACAACTGCAGTCTTTTCTCCATCATGATGTTGCTCATAGACTGTTGGTCCAATAGTGAGGATTTGTGTTTTCTTTCTGTTGTGGTATAATTCACACTGAATTTGATCACACAGTGTTTGATCTTTTCAGCAAGTGCTTCATGTCCTTCACTTTCAGCAAGCAGAGTTGTAACAGTTGCATCTTACTGCTTGCTAAGCACTTGAACTAAAATTGGAACGATACAGAGAAGATTAGTATGGCCCTGGTACAAGGATAGCATGTAAACTCATGAAGAATTCCATATTTTCATTCCTTGGAAAAGAGACATCATACTTAGGAAGGTAGAGAGTCAGTGAAAGAGAGGAAGACTTTTTATGAGATGGATTAGCACAGTGACTGCAGCAATGGGATCAAGTATATCAGAAATGATGAGGATGATACAGGATAGGACAGGGTTCAGATCTGGTGTTCAAAGGATCTCTATGAATCATATTCACCTGGACGGCATGTAACAACAACTACTAGACGATGAGCCTAAAGAACAGAGATTATGTCTTTATGTATTTTCAGAGTACCTTATGCCTAGAAAGCTTCAGTGTTTATTACTTTGTACTGCCCATTTTAATGTCATTGAGAGTACTATGAACTGGATTTCTTAGAGTCATCACTGTTTAATCATATAAAAGTCACATTTTTTCACACAAATTATGATCAGATGTTTATTTACTGATTTTTAAACATGTTGTTGTTGTTGTTATGTGCCGTCGAGTCGCTTGCGACTCATAGTGACCCTATGTACAACAGCCCTAAACTCCACTCTGTCCTGTGCCAATTGCACTGTTTCTGACACTCTCATCCCAATTATCCCAGTCACTGAATCAGTCCACCTCATAGAGGGCCTTCCTCTCCTGCACTGTCCCTCCACTCTCCCAAGCATGATGTCCCTCTCTAAGGACCAGTCTCTCCTCACAACATGTCCAAAGTATGTTAGACGGAGCCTCAGAATACTTGCCTCCAAGGAGCCACCCGGTTTAACCCTTTCCAGGACAAATCTGTTTGTTTTTCTAGCAGTCCATGGTATTCTCAGTACTCTTCTCCAGCACCACAGCTCAAAGGCATCAATTCTCCTTCTATCCTCCTTGGTCATTGTCCAACTCTCTGATGCATAACAAGTGATTGCGAAGACCATGGCCTGTATCAGACGCACCTTAGTCTCCAGAGAGACACCATTGCTCTTCAGCACTTTGGAGAGGTCCCTAACAGCAGACTTTCCCATGGCAATGCGCCTTTTAATTTCCTGGCTGCTGGTGCCAAGACTGTTGACTATGGAGCCAAGCAA